AGCAAGAGTTTTCAGAAATGTTAAATGACAGACAAGATTCATTTTTGTAAAAACTACAGATACAATCTACATAGAATAAAGGAAACAGATATGAAAACAAATGCAACCATACATATGACTGTGTATGTTTATGCATATAAAGACATATATAGAATGCTGTTTATGTGAATTTTATAGTAAGAGAAAAGATCAAAAAGTATTTTCCAATCTATTAACAGAGGGTTTTTTTTTTTAGCTTGAGCAATGGAAATATAAGGAACTTTGAATATCCTTCCCCCATTCTCGCTTAAATTTTATGAGTATGTGTGTCACTGAGCGTTAATGTTTAAACTGTAATGTCGATGGTTCAAGCTCACCAGTCGCTCCTTAGAAACCCTACAGGGTCATGACAAGTCAGAACTAACTCTAAGGCAATTAACAACATTGCTTTTAAAATAATAATAAGACTTTAAAAAACCATTTACATGTTATACAAAGTTATTTCTACAACAACCAAAAAAGACTTAATGACATCCAGCAAGATGGTGGAGTAGGCAGATGCATTACATGACCTTCAACAACAAAGACATGAGAGAACAAATAAAACAGACACAGATGAAAATCTTGCCAACCTGAACTTCAGAAGGAAGGTTAGAGAGGTGGATGGAGTGCTTGCTGGGAGGACAGGCTGAGCAGGGCGGAGAGAGAGGGAGACTGGTGAACAGCTGGCCAGATGTGACTTGACCATCTTGCGAGCAGCTCTGGCAGCAGAAGAAGGGCTGGCTGAGTAGGTGACAGGAAATGTACTAGTTCTTTTTCCTTCCCACACTACCCTGGTGTTCGAAGTCTTGGTGTAGTGCTGTAGGATAAAGCACTGGACTACAAGGTCAGTTTGAACCACAAGGTCAGTGGTTCAAATTCACCAGTTGCTTCTTGGAAACCCTACATAGGGTCACTATGAGTCTGAATCAACTCATCAGCAATTACCAACAAGCCTGGTGTTCAGAGGTGTGGCCAGCTCCCACCCTCACCTACCCCCTAGCACAGACCCTGTTCCCCACAGTTCAGAGCCATACTGGCATGCATTGGGGGCCTGCTGCGCCACTTTGATTCCTGGATTCAAGGGAGCTCGGCTCCAGAACTACAAAACTTGCAAAGCCACCGGACTAGTCTTTAACCAGTCACCCTGTCAGCAGCTTCCATCAAGGGCCTTCAGGAACTACTTCCAGATTGAGTGCCCTGGACATAAATAACACCAAGGCCAATAGGCACTCTATCTAGGGCTACAAACTCTGCTGTCACATCCCTTCCACAAACACCTCGTGAGCTCCTTGAATTGCAGGAGCTCACCAGCAATTTCTCCCCACCGGATCCAACAACTGCATAGTTAGTTTTTACAAATAGACAACCCCACAATGTCCCAGAGACAACAGACAATTTTAGTTCACAAAAGAAATGAGAGAGAATGGCTTAAACAAATAACTAAGATGGAGAAACAGAAAAGATTTCTGAGAAAAAAAAGGTAACAGAACTGAAAAAGAATTCAAAAGGATGATATTTGGATACCTTCAACAGATTGACAGAAGGAACAAGGAAAGCAAAGAGAACACAGAAAAAAATTAGAATTCAGGAAAATTCTTTAAGAACTAACAGACAAAATAAATGCAAATTCTGAAACAACCTGCAATTAGAAATCCATAAGATTAATACTAATACCTCAGAAATGGACAATACATTGAAAGGGTAAAGGAGAATACTTCAAGCAATGGAAGCTTGAATTAGTGAACTTGAAGACAAATCTCTCGATGTTAGTACGCTAGAAGAACATTCAGAAAAAAACAATGAAAAAATCCAAAGAAAGCCTAAGAGTTATGTGGAACACCATGAAGAGGAAAAAGTTAAGTCTGTATGGAATTTCAGAACATGAAAAAAACAGAGAAAACTGTCGGAGTTGATGGAAGAAAACTTCTCTATCATGAAAGATGAGAAAGATAAGCATACAAGAAGCTGAACAAACCCCAAACAGGACAGATCTCAAAAGAAAAACACCAAGACATAACATAATCAAACTTTCCAAACTCAAACAGACAAGAAAAGAATTCTGAGAGCAGCTTGGAAAAAATGTAAAGTTACCAACAAAGGAGAATCCATAAGATTAAGCTCGGATTTCTCAGCAAAAACCATGCAGGCAAGAAGAAAATGGGATGACATGTATAAAACTCTGAAAGTAAAAGATTACCAACCAAGAATCATATACCCAGCAAAGCTGTCCCTCAAATATGAAGGCAAAATAGGGAATTTCCTGATAAACAGAAATTAAAGGATTTATACTGACAAACTTTTTTTAAAATGTTAAAGGATGCTCTCTGGACCTAGAAATAACAAGAGCAGACAACAACTTAAAATTAACATACATGACACCTCCACCCAGAAATCAATCCAGATATGTTGTTGTTGTTAAGTGCCGTTGAGTGGGTTCTGACTCCTAACAACCCTGTGTAAGGTTTACTATAAGTGTCTGGTTGAGTTTGAACCGATGACCTTGCTATTCAAACCAACCTGTAGTCCAGTAATTATCTTCCAGTGCCACACCAGGTATTTAAAAACAAACCTACAAGACTGAAAATAGGGAGCCAGATATATCCATGTATAATGAAATCAACTACAAAGCAAAAGGAGGAAATAGTGTAGATACATAACTTCCACATTGCAAGGAAGTCGATAAGATTTCAAGATAAAACAGACTGTTTTAAACTAAAGGGAAAAAATAAACTACAAGGTAACTTCAAAGAAAAATAATACACCTGCACATCAAAATTTTAAAAAGAAAATCAGAAAGATGTAGTAAGCATTAACACACAGGAATGAAAATGAAAAGAAAACCCAGAGATAAAATTAATTCAGTATAGAAAAGTACGTGGAACAAAGACTCCAGCAGTACCATACACGTACACACAAACCACAGAAAATGATAATAATCAATTCATACCTACTGATAATTTAACAGAATGTAAGGATTAAATGTACCCATCAAGAGACATAGACAGCAGAATGGGTAAGAAAACAGAATCCTTCAATTTGCTATCTACAAGAGACACATCAAAATATGGAGACAGCCCATCAAAAGAAGAA